TGAGCACTACCCTAAGTATACCTGTAGCTATTCAATGAGTATGCTTAAAGTTAATAATGTGTTTAGCAGCTTTCTGAAGCAAAGCCTAAATCTTTCTGTTCTCCAAGTATTTTTAAGGCTTAATCCAAAATGGAAGTTCTTTTATTATGTATTGGGTGGTCTCGCAATGACATTGACCCACTCCCACAGCACTCTAACTCCATCCCTGCACTTCTAGACAGTGTCTCTATATACCTTTCAGGCTACCTGTTGCCACTTCCACCTTTTTATGCCTCTTTTTTATGTTTTAATTTTTTCAGGAGTTCCTTGTTCATCTCTGCAGGCTGCCTTTGCTTGATTTCTTGTTCATCAGCTGTTCTTGAATTTGAAGGAAGGAGGTGATGCTTGGAAATCAGTCATCAAAAAGATGTGAAAAGAACTATAAGTGCAATAATAAACTGGAGAACAAAGAAGAGCCTGGACATGTGAATGACTGAATGTATAAGTCAAAGAAGAAATTATTTACGTTTATCTGTCTTGCATCTAATTATTCCCATAGCTGAAAAAAAAAGATGTCTCACATTTAGGCTTATGCTAAATTTCACATAAGGGAGATCAAATATTATTTCCACAGAGATTATAAAACTATAAAGGATAAAAAAAATTAATGAAGATCCTGAACTGAACCAATATTCTTATACCATTCCAGGCAAAAGTGGATCTAATAACTTGGACACATAAGAAAATGAATACATCATAGGATATCGGTTAATCTGAATTAATTACTCATGTGCATACCCGGCTATAAATGTGGTGCAGGTTTCTCTTCAGAGATGCAGAGTACTTTGAACAAGTTTGGAGCCTCAAGCACTTCTCAATAAATAAAAACATACAACCCTGTGCAGCACTCCTGCTTGCTTATCTTAAAACTGTTCTTAAATGAGTCTCAAATATCCAAAAATGCTCTTCAAAAATCTGCAACAAAGGAGACTGAATAAACAATAGTTGTTATCCTTAATACTATGTTGTATACAGTCACTGTTTTTCCATTGGATGCCTACCTTAAGACAGTTTCTTCTAGCAAAGTTTCCTGAACATGCTTATGAAAACACCACATGTGGTAAATGTCAAAGCTTGTTTAAATGACCATATAGCACATCTACTGTTTCCTCTTTATCCACAAAATTGCCTATCTCATCAGAGAAGGAAATTACATTGCTTCAACATAATTTGCTCCCAATAATTCTATGATGGATTTTTTTTTTTTACCATCTTATTATCCTCTAGGTGTTGATAAATTGATTGCTTAATAATTTGTTCTAGCACATTTCTGGGAATAAAAGCTGGGCTGACCTGATAATTTCCTGGGTCCTCCTCTTCTTAAAAATTAGTATAACACCTGCCCATGCCCACTGGTTTTCTACCTTACATGACCTCCATAAGTTTTTGACAACAATCACTAACAGTCCACACACGGATTCAGCTAGTCCTTTAAACACTCTAGGGTGAATCTCATCATACCATTTCCATTGAATTCACTTGTTCAAATGCTGGTTAGCCAATTCTTTTATTCCATACCCTCTGGTTAAAATTGATTTTGTTAAATTGCTGGTCAACTAACCTTTTCGCTAGAGCAAAAGTAGCCTTTTCTCTATCATCTACTATCTGCTCTCCTTTCCTGCTAAGTAATAGCAGTGTAAAAAAGCAGAGGAAGTTACTCTAATGACAATCTTTTTGTTGCCTTTTATACTGTTACGTGCCTTAGCCTTTCTGACATCCTTTTAGATGAGTCTGCTGTTCTTTTTTACTCACTTCCAGTCATGGGGTTTTGATTCCACATTTTGTACAATTCCTTTTCACTTTTCAGGATGTTAAAGAAACTCGATGCTGCCGTATTATTCATTTATTCTACTAATTCTGCTTCAGGAGAGTTTTCTGTTCTACCTTAAGTGCAGTCAATGCAAGACTTTCTGCACTCTTTTTGTCCTTAAAATTTCTTTCCAAGAGATCCTACTTACTAGTTCTCTGACCTCATTGAACTCTGTCCTTGCTGAAATTCATTATCCTATTTCTACTGTTCTCAATCCTCCCTCTTCTCAGTGAGTATTTTGTGATAACAAAATTTTTAACCAATGCCTCTTTTAGTTAAAATCAAATGTAAAGTAACTGCTTCCTGATTAACTTTCTCTGTCTTGTGGGTTGACCCTGGCCACACAGTCACTATCTCACTCCCCTACCCTTGTCTGTCATCAGGATGAAGGAGAGAGTAGGAAGAGCAAGAGTCAACAACCCTTAGGAGTTGAGATAAATGCAGTTTAATAAGGGAAGGAAGGAGGGAAAAAAAACAAGTGATGCAAAGGCAATTACTTTCTACCTCCCACAAGCAGCCCAGGCAGTCTCCAAGCAACAGCTACTTTGGAAGGAAAAAAACTCCCCATTTTTTATTTCTGAGCATGATGTTATATGATAGAGAATATCCCTTTGGCCAGTTGGGGTCAGCTGTCTCAGTTGTATTGTCCACCCCCAGCCTATTCATTAGGAAGGCCTAATAGGAAAAAGATGAAGCCTTGAGGCTGTGCAAACAGGGTTCGGCAACAGCCAGAACATTGGTGTGTTTTAGTAACAAATCCAAAACACAGCACCATATGGGATTCTATGAAGAAAGTTAACTCCATCCCAGCCAGACCCAGTAAAATGTTTTGAAATAAGTAAATATTCTCAACATTGTCAAGAACTTTATAAGCCATTGATCTCCTCACATATTAATATGCTAACAGCTACTGACATAATGAAAGTTCTTCATTACCATCAGATGAAGGCTTCTGTTAGTTGCTCAGAAAAGCTTCTCATAATCTTCTAGAGAAATAGGCTATACTAGATCCATGAAAGGACACAATCTAAGATCTTTTTTCTCTTTAAAGTTCTGTCAGAACTTTCCACAGGTCTCTTTCTTATCCCTATCTTGTCTCTAGAACAAGTATTTATGAGAAAACATTCAGAAGCTTAGAGGTGGAAGTTCATATAAGTGCCAGAAACCAGAGAACATCTTCAAAGATCTTTTGAAATATTGACACACAGACACAATAGACTATGGCTACCAGTAACACCTACAGAGTTTAACAGCTTGCAGTTGAGAGTAATAATAAAACAGGGGTTGCCTTCTCCAAAAATAATATTTCTATGACTCCAGCTAAGGGGAACTATATGATGAAACTTCACGTTACTATTACGTAGAACACAGACTCGGCTCTAAAATGCTCCTGCCTGTCTCATTCTGAGATCCCACACTTGAATTTCCATCTGAAGCTTTCAGACAAGACCAGGCTTGAAAAAGTCCTGCTTAAGTGTCTTTGATGTCAGCACTGAGCTGTTCTCAGAACCAGCCTTATCTGCATTTCAGCCACAGTAGAAATCAGCCCTAACTCCTTTCATGGATCTGGAGCATGAATTCTGTAGTACTTTTATGAGAAGTGAGGTTTATTGGGCAGAAATGCACGTGTGCATGTGGTTCTGTCAATCCCCCTATCAACCTGGAATGCTTCACTAAGTTTAATTGATTTGTAAAAAAAAGGTGAGGGTTTCTTCACATTTGCACAAGCTGTTTGAAAAGGCACCTGGGAATAGGAGAAAGACCATCAATGCCCTCCTGAACACCAGAGGAAGAAGTCCAGTCTCCTTAGAAATTGGTGCTCACCCTTGGCACAGAAATCAATGAGAAACCAGTTCTGTTGCTCTGAAATTATTAGTTATTTCACCAAACCCTGCAAATAAAAAAGTCACAGGAACGAGGCCATAGCCAAGCAATAAAACATAAGGATTAAAAATTGAAATAGAACTCAATTTTAAAAAAAAAAGAACAAAAAAATTTCTTGATTGTAGTACTAGAAGTGGAGATTAATAAACAGTTCATGAATCACCACATCAGTCTTTTTGTCAGTAGGTTTGGTAAATGACAGATTTATAATTTTATTGTGTACTTCCTTATAATGTTGTTAAATATTGCACTTCTATATGGGCCTGAGGTCTGCTTCTCTTCTCCTGCACTTCCATTTTCACTTCAGAAAAAGAAAAAAGGAGATGTGTGTGTAAAAATAAATTACCAGTGCATAAACAAATAAAGAAACACCATTTAGTGGAACACATATATTTATATTCAAAGCTTGAATTCCAGACTGAGGACTTGGGTGGGGCCTTACAGAACCTAGCCTAGCATTCACCAAGCACAACCCCAGTGGCTTTAGCATCCCTGGAACAAAAACTGTGCAAGGTGATTGTGTTCTGCTACTTCATCCTAAAGGAGTGTCACTGTCAAAAACCTTTTCAAATAGCTTTTTAGCATAGCAAGACTGTATGTGTAATAACTCTTACAGTTTAAAGCTGCAGTCCTTTCCTTTGCATTGTTTTTGTATTGGCAAATAATATCCAGGATGTGAATATTGAGAAGACAGAGACCACCTTTTTAGTGTCAGTAAAACATAAGGTATTTTCACTAAAATATAAAATTCTGGTCTGACTTATTTAGTTTTATCTGTTCTTCTGAATGCCTGTATTATCATTCAAATATCCGAAGCTTTTTATTTTTTTACAGCAAACAGAAACTCGTGTTTGTTTCCAACTAAAAGACGGGCATTATGTGCATATTGTGATCATTGCGTCTAAATATCAGTCAGGAATTTTGCTTGTTGAGCTTACTCCTAGTTGGCATAAATTAGTTTTTTTAAGACAAGCATCACATGGGCAGTCTTTAATTACAGAAGTTAGAACACCTTTTTCTGGAGTGAGTCAACAGATACAGGTAGCATCAGACACTACTACAGTACCGACTCTTACTCACATTCAAAACCTTTCAGTGTGTACAGGAGCTTGATTATATTTCATACAGACATCAAAGAGTGAATGGACAAAAATTCCTTTGTCTTGTTCATGGGTTGCACAGTGATATTTGGTAGATACATTTCAGGTTACCATAGTTTTTCTAATTAAAATTAAATTGCAGTACGTTGAGATGAAATCTCACTTACCTGTAAAGTGCTGAAAGTGGTCGTTTGTTGCCAGGTTTTGGTCTGTATGGTTTTGGTTCTCCTGCCATGTTGATATCTGAAAGCAACAAATTTCATACTAGTAAGCCAAATGTCTGGAAGTTAGAGTGAGTTTACAAAGGCACCTTAGTGACCCTGAAAATGAGTAATAGAGAATGAAAATGGACAGCATTCCTATCTAGTTTTTACCACTTCTGAATTGATGCTATAAAACTTTCCTAAAAATTCTTACTGTAATGCATGAGGATTTTAAGACAAATGTTAGTTATTGGTAACTGACATTTTTTGAACATACATGAGTTTCAACTCAGGAAGCTGAAGCCAATAATGCATTTTGGCTACTGAAGGAGACTTGAATGGTAGCTTAGATGTAGAGACAAACCATGAACGCAAGTCAAATTCTGTTGTGGAGGACTATAATGGTTCTGAAGAGTTCCCATTTAGGAACTAGAGAAATGCACACTGATCTTTAACTGCCACTTCACTATCCACTCAAAAAGAGAGTTTTCAAAAGCAAATGAGAGTATCTATTTCCTACCTCAAATACTTTTTGTTGTTGTTGTTGTTCTGAGTATAAAAACACACTGGCTTAAAAAATTGTATGGAGAAAGAGAAAATCTGGTTTTGCACAAACTTTGTCTTAGGCAGGTACTTCCCAACAAATCCAGAAATCCTGTGCATACTTTTTGAAAGTTCACTTAAATTGTGCTTATGTATTTATCCTTGAAATTTGAAAATATGTGAAGCTTATATATACATTAATCATGCTGATTCTCAAATTACTCTCTTCTTGTGAATCATACTCAAAGACATACCAGGAAATACTTGTCCACCATTTTGATTCCTTGTAGCAGTTACCCATGGAGAAAGAAGCACTGACCCTTCTGTGGAGAATACTTTACTCAAGCCTGGGAAGTTGTCTATGTAAACACAAACCTATATTAAAAAGATCCCTCCCTCCCACTGGATGTTGCAAAGCCAATGTTACAACAAATCACATGGATAAAGTAAAGCTTCTGGTTAGGAAACAAAATCCTTGCCATCTGAGTGATGCAGTTAAATCTTTCCTCAGTTTAACTAATACACAAAAGAGTAGTACTTAACAAAACCATCAGAGTTAATTCAGTGTAGAAGTGCTGTGACAAGAACAACATATCCCATTTACTGTGGAATGACCTGGTGATCAAGACTTTCAAGGAAGCACATGTTCTTGGTAAAGTCTATGTTTAACCTGAAATTGAGTACAGTGGAGGGAAAAGAGAAGTAGAAAGCTGAGGTGTAGTGATGCCAGAAGTCCAGACATTTTTATTTAAGTTATTCTTGACCTCAAAGGCTGCAGTAAAAGCCTGAGACTTGACTGGATACTTTTATTTCACACAAAGTGGAAAAAATAGTCCATCTGACTTTTTTTAGCAATCAGAAACATTGAAAATTGGCACCCCTCAGATTTTTTGACAGAAAATATTTTTTGCATTGGAAACTTCATACTTCAAAGATTGAAAATAATTTTAAACATATTTTTCATTTAATTTTCATATTTTCAGCAAACCCAACATTTATTTAAAATTATAAAAGGTCCTGAAATGAAAAGGTTTTGTGTAGAACTATTTCATATAAAAGATTGGTCAAGGTTGGACCAGATGATCCTTGAGGTCCCTTCCAACCTGATATTCTATGATTCTGATACTTCTTTGGTAAAATTTTCTCCATATAAAGAATTTTGGAATTAAATCTTGATTGTAGCTCCTTTTATAGGACCTGTATTACTCTTAAATAATAATTTTCCATAAAATATTAGATTTCTTGGTTTACTTATCTCTCTGAAGTTGGATGAATATTGGAGATAGTTTTCATACCTCCTTAAAATGCTTTCCTGCCCTTAATTTCAAGCAAGTGCTTTAATGAATGATTAATTCATTATTCTTCCTCTTCCATGGTTGTTAAAAATTCAGCTATATTTCCCTTATTTAAAGAAACACAAAGTTTATTAATGTTGACCCAAAAAAGTAAACTGTCAAACATTTCTGAAAGCCACTGAGGAATTTTGATAGCTGTGCTGCCTTTCCATCGGCTCCTGGAAATAACAGAATTGGAATGAAATTTTTTCCTGTGACCTTTATGATAATTAGACCTTTCCACACTATTTTAGTATGTCAGCTTTAAAGTCATTGACTGTATTAACTTTCACCCTCTCCTAATACAACTAGGTCAGATTTTAGGAAAAAAAGAAGAATTATAATCTGTTCTTGGGAAAACAATAATCTGTTCTTTGGAAATACCTGAGGCTATGGGATTCATCTTCACATATGTTTCATGTCTTTCATCTGCTTCTCTTTCAGAGCTACCGCCCAGTTCACTATTCTTAGGCATATGAACATTAAAGGACTTTGAAAACTTTTTCACAACCTTCTGGGACAGATCAATACTATCTCAATGATTATTCTTGTAGGCCTACATTTGCAGCTCTACAACACCCGCTTTTAACAAAGACGTATAGTGTAGAAGACTAAGGGCTGTTTGTTATGTGTTCCCTTTATTTCAATCAAATACTGCCAGAAAGGTAATGCTGTAAGAAAACACAGCTGTAAAGCTGTTCAGAATCAGTTAAGAGCTCTCTGCACTTAAATAACTCTCTAAATGTACTAGCAGAAAACAGCGAACTATGTTATACAGACAGTAATAGCCGGAATTTCTCTTTAACACGGAAAATAGTTCATAGAAAAGCTGTGCACATGGGGCTTTTCTGTTAATATGAAAGTGATTGAATAGCTCTGCAACTCCCTAAGCACCTTGTAGTAAGTTAAGAATGGATGTAGGAAATGGTTTGAAAAGTTAGAACAGATTTTCACCCCATTATTTTTCAGCACTATCTACTCCAACCTCAATTTTCTAACTAAGATTAGAAGTGAACTTGTCAACATTTCACAGGATAGATTATTCGTAGCCCAACTGGAAATCGTGTGAGATAACTTGTTCTCTTGCTTCATCCATCATTAGTTTCACAGCAGACATTTACATCTACTAGGTCATAAACTGTGTGCCAAATAAATTTGTTGGCTGCAGTGCAGAGATTTACCTGAACTAATGACTTCACCCCAAGGAATGCAGAGAGGTGTCACTCCTTGTTCTGTAAAATTAGCTACAGCGTTTCTCCATGAATATGAACAACAATATGAAATACAACTTGACAAAGGATGCAGACATTGGCATTGCTTCTATGTGGAAATGGAGCAACTCAGGGACTCTCACATTATTTTCTCTGATCATATAATATAAATGTTCAGTTGGACATCAACACTAAAATAAATTCAGCACCGAAATTCAAAATATTAAGGAATCACTATGAACAGGAAAGTGACTGTGCAGACAACAGCACATTGTAATGCGGCAACCTGCTCTCTCTGTGCTTTCAGAATCAAACAAGATTTCTTTATTAAAAGAAATGCACCTCCAGTTCTATCCCTGTTAGCACAGCAGAGGTTAATTAAGGTATGAGATCTAGGTTTCATTCAAGGTTGTGTGTCATCCACTGTTCTTCCATTCTTGTGAATGGTTGCAGAAACTGAGACATTCCTTGAAAAATCCCACAGCTGCTTGCCTTAAAATTTTGGATGAAAAAGTGTGTCATTGTGTACTTCCAGACCAGCTCTGCTTTAGACCAACCTTTAATGGAATAAATGGCAATTAAAATCAATCCAGAAAAAGGTGTGGATATAGGGAGATCAGGGTGCATTTTCTCCTTTTTCAGATAACCCAAAGTATATGGGACAGAAGAGGAAGACCAAGAGGTAGATGCAGTTTAGAGAAAACCTCTAGTCATGTGATTTATACCATAAGTGGACAACAGGAAAGCTAAAGGTAATCTGTCTTTCTTTTATACTCTTCCATCTACCAGTCCTATAAATCTCCCTGCTGCATACTAAAGGTATTTTAGTGGTCATGACATTTTTTACTTCATAGACTTCCTTTTTTCTTTATATGGTAACTTAATTACATGTCATCTCATCTCTTTCCCCGCCTCTAGCACTGAAATGTGAAAAAAAGTGGAGAGGAAAGGACAGTTTTCAGTTCTGTTCAATTCTGTGCTCAGCTATAAAGAAACTTCCCAGAAAATTGAACACAAACTCAAATTAACTTTCAAGGCTAGTAAAATATTAAAGTAAGGTCTGGGTCACATATTTTCCTTTTTCATAATGTTATTAAAAATAATTTGCTTGTGAGGTTCTCATCTGCATTTGGATTTTCTCTTAGCATTGAAGTAATTGGAAGCCCTTTTTTGTACAAAGATGACAGCTATTGTTAATGCTTCATGCAGAAGGAGAAGCTTGTTGAATAGTATATGAAATTGCTTTGTTCAACCATCTCTTCTTTCATTAAATACTGCTAAAATGAAATGAGGCTATAGGATTATATAAGCTATAATTCTTAACACCATTCAGTAACAGAAGTGTCAGGCATTGTCTTGCTGGAAAGTCTCTTTCTGTTCCCCAGGGAACTGGGTTGGAGTGAGGACAGGTGACAGCTAAAAGGGGAAATCCTGTCCTGTCTATACCCCCACCACAAACTGTTCCTTCAGGGTCCTGGAGACAGCTGACTCTCCCTTAGCTGCTGAATGGATGCCGATGTGCTTCACAGATGACATGGAGCGTTGGCCTGCCCTGTTTTTTGTCTGCTTGCTGCATCCCTGCGCTTCCAGCCCCAAGTAACAGCACAGTCACCGGGCAGACCTCACTGGCCCTTTTGGGTGTGCGACCAGCAGTGGCCCATGGCCTGCCCAGCCTGCTTGGGGAAGGGGAGAATGCTATTTTTGTGGCCTCTTGAAGACTACCCATGGATTCTGCTGAGATTGCAGAGGCTGTGGCCAAGACCTCCCAAATGGCTTCTCTCCTGGTGCTTGAATCCCTGCAGATCACTCTGGGAGTTGGCTGGAGCACTGGGATGCAGGGAAAGGGACATCACAGAGAAAAGGGCATGTCTTGTGAAGTGTTTCCTATGGGAAGGAAGCCTGTTGGTGGCAATCCTCCTCACTCCTCCCCCTCAGCACCAGACT